GTGTATAATAAAACTTTTTATATGACATATGTTTATACAAATTGTTGGTTATCATATAATAGTTGTCTCGTTAAAATAATGGTTTTACTTATAACATATTCAAAACTTAACTTTTTAGGACATATAATTAAATACAGTTGTGAAAACTACAATGCTGATGATGTAATCATATGTTACAACTATAACCAATACTTAAAAATAAAATTTGCTCACGATTTTACTTATAAGTGAAACAGTAGGTGGGCTTAAAAACTTCTAAAAAATAAATGTAAAAGCAAACATAAGTTGAGATATGTCGAATCTGTATGCTGTTCCTTGACCTCATCATCCTGATGTAACACTGTCCTTGTTGCACTTATAGTACCTTAGTAATGCCATCTGCTATCTGGTGAGTCACACTATGATATCACCTCTCTCTCCTATGACAACTGCACCCTTTGTTTTCACTTTATGAAATCATAATATAATCACTAACCTCTACCCTTATCGCCTGAGGCAGCCAATCAGCGCGTGTGTTTAGAGTTCCAGCTTACTACTCATATCAGGGTGTAAGGATCAGTGTCACATTTTGTATACGGGCTGGAATTCTTTTACAGTAGGTATCTGTGACTTATAGATGATGCATTTGAACAATAAACGGACAGGATACAATCCACTTGCTTTAAATAATATATTCAAAACCAGTCAAATGTATGTACAAAAACTTGTTACACTGTTAGTTATCACAGTTGTATTTAAAGCTTTAAATTATTTTATTTTATTTTAAAAGTCCACACAGGCTGGTTCAATTACTTTAGAACCCAATTGACAAGACGAATTATTCTGTGGGTTACAATACAAACTGTGAATCTCACTTCAGATATCACCCTTTATGGCTAAGCTAAGAATCACGCAATCTAACTTCACTTTCACTAATTTATCTAACTTTCTTACTTTTTGCTAATTTAGTTTCTTAACTTCTTGCTCTCTGTATATACACGTATTCACAATATGCGAAAGAAAAATCTAAAAATATCTAGCCCTCTAGTAGCAACAGTATTAAACATAAGAAAAAGTTCGAAGCTTCGAATAAGATGACTTCAACAATATTACAAAAGCCTAGTATAACAATTAAACTACATACACAATGAATGACTTGTACAAAGTTATTTAACGAAACTTGTCATAACTATCGTTTTTAAAATAATTAATCTTCATCACTCTTGTTATGGAAACTAAATAATCATTAAATATTAAACCACTAAATAAACTAAATAATAGCTCTTAAACTAAACAGTCCTGTATATCCAACAGTCAGGTTAAATTTGTTTACCATCCACACTGACAACTACAATTAATAAATGCTGGTACTTGTCCAAAGAATGCACTGACCTACTTTTACACATTATTAACTTCAAAATATATTAGGATTTACCTTCCTGAAACACATCACCATGCAATAGGATCATAGAAAAGTGGAGGACAGCTAATCAACACCACCAACTATTTGGGCTACTCTTTACCTACGAATAATGGGATTGGCAATCACATATGACGCTCCCATAGCTGAAAAGGCAGACATCTTAGATGACGGGATTCGAACTGCACCCCACAGATTACGTGTCCTAAACACTAGGCCATGCCAGGCCGAGAATTAAATGACGGGATTCGAACTGCACCCCACAGATTACGTGTCCTAAACACTAGGCCATGCCAGGCCGAGAATTAAATGATCATTTCCTTGGGAACATAACTTTGCGTGTGAGAGATCCATAATAAGAATTTAGATTAGAAAAATTGTTAGTAATAATGATTGGATGGCCAACAGGGTACAAATTGTACTCGTTAGTCCAAAAATTGAAGATGTAAAATCGATAAATTTAATGCAAATTTTGTCCTTCACGTCTGGTGGCGTTGGCTCTGCCTAAATAGAAAGCATCACAGATGTGAAGAGAAAGAACTGCTTTATAACCTGTGACAAAATGCTGTAAATTCATACCAGACTTCTTCATTGTATAAAATTCTTGTTCCAAAACAACATTCTTTTTCTTCAAGGCTTCCAGGTGTCTTTGCCTCTTCTAGGTACGTAGTCTTGTGTCCCACATTGGTGTGTGGAAAACAACCTTGTGTAGCTGATTCATAACACCCGTGATAATACCATCAATGATTGTGTTTTGTTTCTCGGTAGAATCTACATATTCTGTAATTCAGTATTTATTTTCCTCCACCATCCAGAGTGTGTTAAGAGCGATGAATAGTGAAGAGATTAATTTACTCCTTTAAATAGCTATACAAGCAGAAGCAATGGGGTGTTTCTGAAGGGGCCAATGCCCGCAGTTGAAAGAAGCTTGTTCTTGAATGGAAATGGCCACATCAGAGCGTATAGGCATGAAAACGACTGTAAGATGAACATCAGCGGAAAACAAAAGAACTAAATTGAACAGCAAGATTATCAATTTAAAATCTTGACTTCTTGAAAGTCAGAGATGTAACCTTCCTTTGTCTCTTAATGACACTTAAGTAATTTTAGGTCTTCGTTAACCTCTACTATATCTGTATTAATGGTCTTTGTGGAGTGAAGATTAAGAAGCTACAATCGCGTAGGAATGGCATAGATTATTAAAATAGTAATGGCTGGCTGTCTTCCCACTGACCAGTAGTTAATAAAAACAAATATTCCTCAGAGGTTAAGTGGCCAAGTAGGAAAGTTTATAACACAGAGTTGTGAACATTTTGTCTGTTTTATCCATCCATATCACTAGGGCTAATGGACAATGGCCCCAGTTCCTACATACAGTTAATAAATATGTGCATATAAATTCAAAAAAATAGGAATACGTAATTACAAATTTAAAATTAGTTGTGTTCTCTGTCAAAGTTGTAGATGATGCTTGAAAGCATTTTTCCAAGAGTGCACTGAAAAACAACAACAAGTGACCATTACAAGCGAGGGTACCCAACTCATGAAACACTGCATTGTAATATTTATAAATAAGTACATAAAATATATTTAATTAGCTACATTTATTTCCAATACCAGGTTGATTTTTTTTCGTTTTGCTCTAAGTCGGTAGCTTGCTCTAATCGGAAATTAATATTAATTGCGTGCAACACCTCGACCTTGTATAAAGAAACCTGATCCAGATCTATTTTACATTTGAAAATTTGTAATATGGTGGATAATGATCACACGTTGTGAAATATACATTCCCTCTTCTCCAGGATCAACTGCTTTTACTAGGCACGGGGCTACACTAAATGTGCAAATAATCAGGTTTCTTATAACATTTGAACTGAATAAACAAAACTCAAGAGAGTTCTAGATGACATTTTGCTCATATCGAAAATCGATACAAACATAACTATTATTTATTTCATAAGTTATCATGTTACACATTGTGTAAAACTTAATAGTCTGTAGCTATAAATGAATGTGCAACATATATAAATTACATTTTTAATCATAAGTTTAATGTATATTTGGACATGTATATAATCAAAGCATATTTACACAAAACAGTTACGAGAAATAAAAATTATAAGTTATTTGATCTAATTCGTCCAAATGTTTGTAGTTTGGAAATGTTACTATGCACTCAGTCTTTAGTGCAAAATCTAGACTTTATATTATTATAAATAAAATTATATGTAGTAGGACTTGTCTCTTTGTATTCTTATAAATAAACTTATATGTAATAGGACGTGTTTCTTTGTATTTTTATAAATACAATTATATGTAATAGGACGTGTTTCTTTGTATTTTTATAAATACAATTATATGTAATAGGACGTGTTTCTACAATTGAGGTCAAAACAAAGTTGTTATGAATTCAACTTTTGTAATAACTGGTCGGCATCCTTGAGTCTTCACTTCCTGAGGACCACTATTGAGGCATCTCCTTTGAACCCTTGATACTTGCGTCATTACATCTTCTTATTATACATTATGTTTAATACATTGAGTTGTTTCTGAGTAGTAGGTTTAGTTAGAACGAAATCTAGTATTGTGATTTTTACGTTAAAACTGCCCAGATTCCACTGACCGCAATGTGAAAAGATTTTGGAGGAATGGGATGAGATGAGCCTCCAAGCACATAGTTTGAAATACTGGTAGAGGTGAAAGACATGTATGCAAGCTTCACTCAAATACATATTAAACATTTGTAATAATTTGTTTATTTTTCTTTATGATATTCACAGTTAGATTACACATTTAAACAATCCAAAATTTATCGTTTATTTATATTAGAAATTTTAGAGAAAATTAGGAGAGGAAATATACCTCCTTTTAGACCAGAAATTTCTTCAGATGCTTGTTCTGTGGAACTTCTTACATTGATCCATCGATGCTGGGCAGAAGATCCATCTATTCGACCATCGTTTGCTTTCATAAAAGTCACACTAAAGCAAATTTCAAGGTGAGCCGAAAACAGCCTTATTAACAATGATGCTACTTATAAACCTTTTGAAAGAGCTATTGTATTACAAGTATCTAGTATATCCCAGATTATGTAACTATATCGATATTAAAACAAAATCTAATATATTTTTTTCAGAATGAAGCGTAGGTAAATATGAATATATGTTTCATTTGAATGTTTTTATCTCTACCTATCTGTTTTATTTCAGTTTTCAGTTACTGAGAATTATACTGCTTATCGTTTAGATACTTTGTCTTGAAAATAAAAATTTAACCACGGAATTCAAGAATGCTCAAAACTCAATGACCAATTCTCAAAACAGAATTATTTATCCTGAAGGAAAGGAGATTAATTCTTAACCTTATCCTTTGTAAAAGCATTCTTAAAATATTAATAAGCCTTTGTTTTTGCAGTAAAACCAAAATTTAAAGAGCAAATAGTTTATTTTTATCAAACTGTTTTATCTCCTGACTAAATAAAATAAACCTTCGTTTAGGGACTTAATATCCTTTTACTTTGAATTTATAAGTACAGGAATAAGAATGCAATCATTAATGTGTTGGAAAGAAACAAAATAAAATTTAACTTATTCTTTTTTGGTCAGAAAATGGTGAAAAAATATAAATTGTTTTGGGATTTTCGAGAACCAGGAAATGTATTTTTCGATAATGATATTAATATGTTTTTCATATTAAACATTGATTGCAAACGATACATTTTGTCAGATATCCAAATAACAAATAATAAGTTATTAAGTTACATTACGGTGTTGTGACAAGTAGAATTGCTTATCGTGGAGCTTGTAATAATAGTATTCTTCTATACTAATTGAGGAATAGGTTAAACAATCGCCAAGGTTTTTTCTTATTTTCATTTTAAGAGGATGACTTTTCGAGCTAGCACTCTTCTTCAAATCGTACAGCTATCAGCAGGACGAATAGTGCTAACTCAAAACGACATCCTCTTAGGATATAGAATATAAAATATATATATATTATCGATTGTTTAACCTATTCTTTATTTTCAATATTTTTGTCTCCTATCACGATAAAGTATATATTTCTGTTGATAGTGAAATGTTTTCTTATAAATGTTACTTGGTTTTATAGTTTTAATATTGTATAGATGCACTCGTGCTCGATTACCGAGTCGTCGGTCTGTTTGTGCAGTGTATAAACTATTGCCTTTTTTTTTTTCAATTTATACTCTAAATAATACATTCAGTGGCAGTTGTAAAGGACCTTCTTATGTTGAAAGTTGTGTTTTTTCCTGGTATATGTGTGGCGCTGTTTATATGTGGGCAGGTGACACACTTGTTTTGTTTACATGTGTTAGTTCCTTTAGTATCATTTTGTTCTTCTTTAAAGTTACTTGGCACCAGGATTTCCTTTTAATTTTTTTCATGTTTGTAAGAAATAATGTGTAGGTCCTTGAAAAGAGATTTAGTGATAGGATCTTCAGTAAGTATTGTATAATTGTTTAATATAATATATCTGATCTTCTTGTTGGTCTGATGCTATGTTAGCACAAGTGGAATAGGATCGTTGGTAAGGTTGGGTGTTTGTTCTTTGGTATATGAACTAGCTTTGGTAGCTGCATCGTGGATGAGAGGATCAGGGTTGAGTATTGTATAAAAGAAGGTTTTAATGTCTTTGGATTTTGATTTACAATCATTATCATCACTACAAAGTTTGCATAGTCGTAGAAATTGTGAGTGTGGTATTGATCTTTTGTTACTGTATGGGTGGGAAGAATCTAAATGTAGGTGCGTGTTTGCATGTATTTCTTTGTAATGTATACTAGTGGTCAGATGGTCGTCTTTTATGTATATGTTAATGTCGATAAAGGCAAGTGTTGTGTTGGTTATTTCCCAAGTAAATTCTAAAGAAGGGTAGAAAGAGGAAAAATAGTGTAGAAACGTTTCTAAATATGATTTTAGCATGGATGCAATTCCTTGTATGTTTTCCATGTATCAAAGATACATCATGGATACTGATGCATTCTATTGATTAAACATACGGTATTTGGTGTATTCAACAAAGAGTTTGGCAAAGGCGGAGTCCATTTTAGTTCCCATAGCGACTCCGCAGGTCTGTTTGTAGTAGTTACCATTAAATGTAAAGGCGCTAAGTACAATTTCGACTAAATGTAGAAGTGTGTGTGTTGGAAGGTCCAGTATGGGTCTTTCGTCTAAGAAACATTTTAGTGCAATTTTAATTTCAATTTGTATTACCTTTTCTTGACTCGGAATATTTATGTATAAGATGTAATTCTGCAGAGAAATTCCACACTCAATGTTCAAAATGCTACGCATGTAATTTTTTTAATTATGTACATGTGTTTTTGTTGTAAGCTGACGAAGAGCACTAGCTCGAAACGTCATCCTCTTAAAATAAAACTATAAAATACTTGGCGATTATTTAACCTTTTCTTTAATTTCGATCTCTTTGACGCCTATGTGGTTAACTACATATTTTTATTCTCCTAGACTAAGTTTGGTATCTGAGGTTGACACAGAATGTAATGATGATGCATATTCAGACTTCAGAGAACAGTACCTTCACCAGAAGGTTTGCAACTCGAGTCCTTGGAGAAGGTTCAAGTCCTCCTTAGTTGCTGAAAGTTTTGTAGCCACACATCAATAGAGACGCTGGTAGCATGTATTTGTATATACTATTGTTTGGTTATGGCGGTTATGTAAAACCACTAAACTCAACAGTGTTTACAAGGATGATGAAGGAAGGAGTGAGCTATTTCCTTAAGCATTTCAAACTAATTGTTGCCTCGAATGACTGCCACTCGATCCCTTAGAACACTTGAATGAAGAATGATTCGAAGATTAGGACATAGTTGTCAATGATTTGTAGTACAGTTATGTCCCTGTGAAGAACAAAGTGATTCATAGGGCTAAATTCATAGCTTTAAGGTGAGTTCATCGTGACTTGACCACTTATGCAGACAATCTAAGCAGGTTGTGTGGAAAGTATTCCTAAGCATGCATCGTGGTAATCACGGTGACATTCTCATTGGTAAGTTTGTTAAAGGGCTGCCAAGTGAAACTGGCACCCCATAGGTCTTGCGAACTTTCGACTCTGATGGAAGCAGTTCTGTAGTCGTAAAAAAAGCAGCAGCAGAAATGGTAACCACAGGTGTAATCTCTGCTTCAAAACAACCTCCATGCTCAATGATGATATAAAAGCTTGACAGAAGATTCCGCCACTATTTCTACTGCAGGAATTGCCACAAGATAAGGTGTTACAGCTTTCATTAATCAAGGTTGGGAAACAAGTCTTTTGAGACCCAATTACCATAGCTACAACACTGATACAACATTGGGTTTTCAAAGGCATCAGAGAAAGTTGTATCTTGCAAAAATGATAGCAGAGAGTTATAGGTTCTCTATTTGTACCCCAGTCATAATAATGATTTAACAAGAATATTGATAAACGTACATGTGGTAATGACTACAGTGATTAAGTTAGACTACACTGAAAGAGAAAGGAATGGTGTTTTCTTAATTCTGGTAAATTATAATTTCGTTTTAGTCTTAATTTGAAATTTCGTAAGTATGTGAGTCTTAACTGAAATAAAGGCAGTTTCTGGGTAGCCTACTTCACACTAACTGTGAAACATGGTAGACCCATTATTTTCATTGGTGTTGGTGAAATAATAGTTTACAACTATGACCACTAAAATATTTGTAGAATTTATGAAACCACGATTACTTGTTCACTCAGAATAAAAGAATACATAGTACACGTATTATTTTCTATTACTTTTTGTTTAGAAATATTTTTATTTTTACTACTAGACAACTTCCAAACTTATGAATATTAATACATCTTTAAATTGTTATTTATGAACTAGGTACTTTATACATTATTTTATTTGTGAAATCCGGCATTATTTTGCTTATTTATTCAGATTAAACTTGTGTCAGAAGGCAGGTTAGTGTTGTGAACAGACAGGTTATGAAACCACCTATGTAAAAAGTTTCATTTATTGCTTATAAAGTATTCTCAGTTACCGATTAAGATATTGGTTTGCAGTTTTATTCTTTCCATCCCCTTAGGAACTGTAACTTTGCTTTTTAGGTAATCAGAAAATAGTGGAATAACTCAAGTGTATGTGAGATTTCTGGAGTTGTTGATTGATGACCCAAATGTCGGAAGCCAACAGAGTGAGAGGCCTGTCTAACCTAGCTGTATATCTTCTGTTCCACAGAATTCATGTACGTTATACATTCATTAGTACTTACTATATCTTGGGACAAACACATTATTGTAATAGATGGATGAGTGCATTCACTATTTATACTGTGAAATGTAGCACATGTGCTACGTCCTGTCTGGGTACCTTTTATTTACCACGAAAACGGTCGATTTGTGACATGATTGGTCGTGACACTTAATCTTACGTTGCTTGGTAAACTTTTGACCTATCACAAAATGAGTTGGCTTAATTTCTAATACCGACTTTTTTATATCAGGACATGTTTCTTGACCACTGTGAACTTGCTATACTATGATAAAGAAGATTAATTCTTGAAAATATACAATGACCTGCTCCTCATGCCACCAATCCTAAGTGAAAATATGGGGTTTGCCCAGCCCAGTAATGAAAGTATGGACGAAAAACCTAGAACATAGCCCCTTTGTTGAGAAAATGACAAACTGAGATTTGAAGGCTAGTGAGCTTACCAGTAAATCAGCTTCACTCACTACCAAGTCGATGAACAACAATGAAGTGTAATAGTTAAAAAAGCACAAAATTGACACATTCATCCAGTTGAAGGGTGGAAAACTTCACAATGTATCAAAGTGGCTTGTACTGGTACATTAAGAACGTCCTAAAGGTCCTATACCTCGAAGGTACCCTTCCAAAAATGCAACACACCTCCTTGGCCAAGACACGTAGCATTAATATAGGTAAGGGAGCCTTCTACTTCATGAGCACCACCACGCCAGTGAGATCTATTTCTACTAGACTCGGTGAGG